AAACTGTACTTCCGATTTGATTTGAAACTGTCTCATTGCTATATGTTTATCAATAAAACTGTAGAAAAAAAAATAAAATAAAATAACACAAAAAAAAAAAGAATCTGAAAAAAAAAAAAAAGGTGAGTGAGCACTTACAGCAATGTGAATTCCATAAAGTACAAAAAAAAAAAAAAAAAACTTCTGCCTCCTCCAGCAGAAGTACAGGGCCCCTTCCCTGCTTCTCACTCAGGCCCTTTAGGGTTGGAGTTGGAGGTGAGGGGGGAATAATGCACAAGGCCCCTAATAAACATCTGCAGGAGGGAGGGATTTGCATACTTGAGGGAGTTTCACAAGTGGGTTGGGCTTGGCGGGAAGAATGGGACAGTTGGGGTGGGGGCTCAGTCCCGGGACAGCCTTCCCAGTTGAAGTTAGTTTCCCCCTAAGTTTCTGTTTTGCATCTGAACTACTCTCTGGTGAAAATCACTAGTGGCCCCATCACAGGTTTTAAGACTCTAAGAAGGAAATGGTCTTCTAAACCATCAAGAGCCTCCCCCTGCCCTTTTTTTCTTTCTTGTCCTGGGGATTAAACCCTTGTAGTGGGGGGCTTCACACTAGGTTACACGGCAGCTCTTTTCTTATTTGAGATAGGGTCTTGCTGAATTGCTAAACTGCCCAGGATGGGCTCAAATTTATGATTCTTCTGCCTCAGCCTCCCAGAGTGCTGGGATAACAGGCACGCACCGCCACAGTCAGCTCTAAATCAATCCCTTGTCCATTTTGCAGAAGTTCCCAAGTTGCAGCCCACCAAACACAGACCCAGCTCCCACTCATGCACCCCCCTTCACCTCTAGCTCCTCTCAGCCCCCCTCCCCCCTGCTCACACTTACTCATTACAAAAGCAATATGTGAATCTACATGCTCTTGTAAAATCCTCAGACAAGATTCAGACAGGAAGTAATGCTGCTACAGTGGTCCCTCGGGATGCACGAGGACCCCAGAGCCTTCCCTGCAACCCATGATGCTCAAGTCCTGGTGTGAAATGGCAGAGTCTTTGCAGAGAACCTACACAATCCCCCCATGAGCTTATAGCCACCTCTAGGTGACTTAGATACCAAATGCAATGTAAAGTCTACAGAGACTGTTGTTATGCCGCACTGTTTAAGGAACAATGACAAGAAGTTTGTACGTGTTTAGTACAGATGCAAATTTTTCCCAAATATTTTCATTCTGAAGTTGATGGAACACTTGGATGCAAACCCACAGATGGGGGCAGGGGTAACACTAGTCCTCAGACCTCACCATCTTGTAAACTCCTGGAAATGGGGTCCTTAAAACTGTTTTTTCTGAGCATTCATCTATTTAGACACAGATCCATTTTGCTTAGTTTTTCTGACTGGGATCACACTATCTGTACTGTTCTGTACTTTGGAAAGCCTGAGGCTGCTCTCAGCTGGAAGTGTACAGGCCCTCCTTTGGTAGGTACTGGCTGAATAATCCAAGTCTCCAGCAAGCATTTCCAAACAAAAGGAGGGCAATCGAATTGTATGCAAACTTTTCCAGGGCTCTGTGATGCATTTTTCAAGACCCTGCTTTCTCCAACCACTTAGTATCTGGAGCTCCCAGTACAAAACATTCCTATCCCCTCAATATAAGGCCTTGCCAGACTCCATCATAGAGGGCCTGGGCCTTCCTAAAATACTAAAGGGGTAAAGAGAAATGGGTCTTGGCTCTTAGCTTCCAAAATCAGAGTAAGGCCGCAGAACGCACAAGATTTGGAGAAAAAAGTAGGTATCAGCCTTGAACTGCCCCTGAACTTGGGGAACCTTTTCTAGGCCTCAGTTTACCCCGTTAAAGGAAAGATAATATTTTAAAACCTTGACCTCAGGGTGGTTTAAGCATCAAAAAAGGAAATGTACCACTGCAGGCTGGGTGTTCTAGAGCGCTAGTACAGGCGTGCGAGTTGTAATTATTATTAAATGGGAAAAAAGCGAAGCACAAGCACCGTTGTCTTGAATTCTACCGCAGTGGGAATTCAAAAACAGCTCAGGAGACGGTGACCTGATCATCCCAGGCGGCTAGGGCGCCACCTGCCGACTTCGGAGGAGGCGGCCAGTGGGTCCCCACACCTGGAGTTGGGTGATCCCCGCTCATTCCCCACCACACAGCTAAGCCCTAGGATCGCAGACGGTCCCACGTCCGCTTGGCCAGGAAGTCGCAGCCGAGGCTCCTCTGCGTCCTGGGCCCCAAACATCGGACCGAATGGTCCCCCACAATGTCACCAGCCGGAACAGCAGAGAATTTAGATACGAGATCCAGATCCTGGCCACCCGGGAACGGCTCGCGACACAAAGCCGCGGGCCCGCAGGTGAGCACGCAGGGGCAGAGTGAGCCCGGAGACTTGGGGAGCCGAGCGTGGAGCCCAGCGAGCCGCGCGCGCCCCCTCGGCGCTCCCCTCAGTGCAGCCCCTCGCGCGCCCCAGCTGCAGGTCAGAGTCACCTCCACCCGAGCCAGCAGCCTAGAAGAGGGGGCGCAGCCAGAGGCCGCTCCCCACCCCGGAGTCCCGGGCCGCGCGGCCCTAGCCCCCGGCCCCCGCGCCTCCGGGTCCCCTGCCACTCACCGGCGGCCCGCGTAGCCGCTGCCGGGGGAACCGGCGCCGGGCTCCGGGTAGCCGTGCTGCGGAAGGGCCGCGGCTGGGAAGGGGTAGAGGAAGCCGGTGGCCAGCGCCGACCCGCAGAGGCAGCAGCACGCCCAAGGCAGGAGCAAAGCCAGCCTCATCTTGTGCGGGGACCCGTCCCGGGCGGCGAGGACGATCCGGAGCGCACCGGCGGCAGGACCGAACCCGCGGCCCCGGCCGGGAGGGAGGGATTGAGCCGGGCAGCGAGCGCGCCGAGCCGGGGTCGGAGCTGGAAGCGTCTGGGGGGCGCCCACGCCTCTCCGGGGCCGCCTTTTCAAATTCGGCGAGGTGGGCTCTGCGCCGCCAAAGGGGGCGTGGGGCTTTCTCTTTAACCCTAAGCGGCCCGGGGCGGAGGAGGTACTGCAGCTACAGAGCTGGGGTGCGCGCCTCACTGAGGGTCCCGGGAGCTGTGGGCCTCCAACACCAGACCTTTTACCCAAGGACCCAATCCACATTTTTGGAATCTTCCCAACCAAGCCCTGTTCAAGTCCGCAAATGCCTCGTGGAGCACATTTTCTGTGCCTGGACATTTCGCGTGGACAATGCAGTTGGTTTGTCCTCGTGTGAGATGGTACCACTCCCATTTCTCATAGATGGAAGCTGAGACTCAAAAATGCTAAACTAGAAAGACACACGCCTCTCGCTCCTTAGGCAGAGTGGCCAAACCACGTGTAGTGGACATGTCTGCAAGCAGCTAGCCAGGACTTTCCTCAATCTTCGCTTTCTCTTTGGTCCCCAACCTCCACCTTGGCTGCAGACTCTTCTAGGGTTGAATCTCCCCTTGGTGGGGCATCTGATTCAGGAAGAAGGAATATAACATCCCCTTTACTGATGGGAAAGCTGAAGCTGGAAGCCTTTTTCTGACTTTCCCTGGGGGCTGGGCTGCTCTGCTCTGAGTAGGAAGCCCCCAGGGTGTGGGAGGCCTCCAGGACTGGAGAGAAGCCTCTCTCTAGAGACAACCATGGTGGGCTGACCACAGCACATTCTGTTGATGGACTGTAGGAGTGTTGTTAGGGAAAGACTGGTAGATGCTGTTGAAAATGCACTGGGACAGCCCAGCTCTCGAGATTTGCCATCTTGACCTGTATTTTCATCACATTATGTCCATGCGTCCCCATATGTACAGTTCAGGTGCATCCCCAGGCATGCTTATCCCAAGGTATCCTATCCAACTCCACTTACACGTTCCCCTAAATTACACATCTTGTCATTTAGTTTTCTTAAATCCCAGTTCAGCATTTTCCCCATTTTCTTTCTTTCTTTCTTTTTCTTTCTTTCTTTCTTTTTCTTTCTTTCTTTCTTTTTCTTTCTTTTTTTTTCTTTTTCTTTCTCTTTCTTTCATTCTGTCAGTCTGTCTGTCTGTCTGTCTTTGTATCAGGAATCAAACCCAGGGTCTCATACTTGCTGGGGAGGTGCTGCACCACTGAACTCCATCCCCAGCCCAACTCATTTCTTTCAATGGGATACCCACACATCCCAAGTCCTGGCTCTCCGTCTTGGAGGCAGAACTGGTCATCTCAGCATGGACAACCCCTTAATGGGAAATGTGTAACTTGGACATCAGATTACTTCCTTCTTCTCCCCCTCCATCTCTCCCTTGAGGCCAAAAAGATTTGGAGAATTTAGGTTATCGGGGATTTTCAGTGCCTCCCCAAAGAGGAATCTAAATTGAGTTCCTTGGGCAGTTGGCTGACACCTAATGAATGCTGAGGTCATTTTCCCCAGGAATCTGTCTTCCACCTTCTGCTCCTTGACTTGCATAATGAGACATGAGAAGCCAGAGAGAAATCCCATGTTTCTGGAAGCTGGTTTGACGCTGTAGGCATTACAGTAAGGGGACAGGAATTTCTTTGTTTTATCATAAAGTCATTTTTTTAAGCATTCCATGTAGCACAGGATTATTTTAGGAAAAAAACATTTAGGAGAAGAATGAATACATCCCAGAAATTCCAGGACTAGGGCAGTGGCCAGGTTTGGTCCTCTTCTTAATTTCAGGAACAACAGGTTTTGGATTTTTTTGGCGGAACCGGGGATTGAACTCAGGCCCTTGCACTTGCCAGGGAAGCGCTTATTCCACTGAGCCATCTCCCCGGCCCAGGAACAACAGGTTACTCTGGACCATGTGACAAGATGACTTCTGTGTGCCTGGCACTGTGTCAGCCTTTGCAGACAGAAACAGAGTGGTCCCCACCCTCAGGGTGCTTATGCTATCCTCTGAGAGGATGTTAAAATTGGCCTTGTCCCTTCAAAAGACAGCTGCCCGTGTGGACAGATGTGCTACAAAGGAGAGAAGGCTCCATGGAGCTCATGAAGGATAAAGGGACAAAGATGCAGGAAAGCAGCAAAGGAAGCGTGATATCATCCACACCACCCAGACTGTTCCTGGCCACCCTGCTGACTTGCTGTGTGATCTGTTGTAAACCTGACCCTGTCTGCTCACCTCCACAGCTATATTAGAGAAGGAAAGAAGGCGGACTGTCTGTTTCTGAAGACCTCAAGGGCTGTGACTTCTACGACTCCCTCTTCCCTTCACCCTCCAGTCCTGTCTCCAAGGCAACGATGGACACACACCATTGTTTGAAGTGGTCCCTCTTCTAGATAAGATTTTTAGCAATTACACCACCTATCAGGGGTGTGGCAGCTAAGAGGGATGGAGCAGGATTCTGTGGCATCGCACCCTATCCTCCCCAAGATAAAATCAGCTGGTAGAATCCAACTGTGACAACACTCACTGTGTAACACCAGACAAGTCACCTAACTTCTCTGAGCATCCTCACATCTAAAATCAGAAAAATCACAGTGCCTAGCATAGATTTATTAAAAGGACCAAATGAATTTTTGTCCACAGGGTACTTGACATGCTATAGTATTTATTAGAGATCCATAAGTATTATTCTGCAGTTTTGATGAGCAAGAAAATTTAAAAACAACACACATCTCAAGTCTCCAATGTAAGGCAGCTAAAATGTTCAGATCCAGGAGTACTTGGGGCTTTCTCAGCTAACAAAACTTGTTACATTTTACTCCATGTCCAACAATTTAAAATAAAACTTTATTTATTATTTGGTAAGTGTCTCACTACACAACTCGGACTTGTAGTGATAGTCCTGTCTCAGCCTCCCCAGTGCTGTGATTACAGGCATGTACCACCATGCCTGGTTTCAGTGGCCGGCACTGTGTGACTAGAGATCCAGAGCCACCCAGGATTCGGAGCCAGCACAGCATGCCATACCAGAGATCAAACCTGAGTCCTTGCACTTGCCAGGCAAGCACTTAGACTGCCACGCTATCTCCCCAGCCAAAACTTTATTTTAAAACACATATAGGAGTGGCATGGACTAGAAAGGCAAATTTGCTTCTTTTTTTTTAAAGTATGCACGTGGTAGGGCAGCAAAAGTGGGAAGGTGTGAGCAGCCCTGAAATAAAAACCTCCACAGAGATGCCTGAAAGTTCCTGAAGGTTTTGTAGCTGCCACCTCTACCCTACAGTGCTGCCCTGGTGGGTTGGTGAGCTCTCCACTGCTGTACCTCTCTGCTATAGGATGGTGGTTCTGGCATACTTGGAGTATACACTGAAACTCCAGAGAGGTGGAAGCTACTGCTCACTGACAAGAGCCCAAACCATGTTGCATCCAGCACCTGGGGGCACTGAGGCAGGAAGTTCTCAAATCTGAGCCAGCCCACACAACTTAGTGACTTAGTGAGACCTTGTCTCAAAAAGGGGGAGAGGGGCTGGAGATGCAGCTCAATGCAAAGGCCCAAGGTTTAATTCCTGGTACTAAAGGAAAGGAGGGGAGTTGGAATGGACACTCTGATTTTGGTGCTGGCCCCTTCCTTGATTCCTCGGTGACTTTCAGCGACCACATAGCCCCAGAACCTTGCTAAAACAAGCTGAACAAATAAACATCACTGTGGACAGAGCGCTGCCTCAGTTCCTATCTCCTCAATCTCTCATGACACTCTGATGTGTCCCAGACAACAATTCCATCAGGCCTCGTTTACGGAGGAGGCAGAAAGGAGGTGCTTGTCCGAACACATACCCTCAACCTCAGTCCTTCCCTTTCTATGAGAGGGAAAGCACCTTAGAAATGGGACAAAAACCAGGAGTCGAATTTCTCCGTGCTTGCTCCAGGCTCCTGGCCCTGATGTTTCCACATCTTTCGGATAGACATCCCCTCTGCGTTCAGGACAGAAAGCAGAGCTGCAGTTGTGCTAAGTTAGCAGAGAGCCGCTGCGCAGGAAGAAGGACTCACCGAGCTGAGGCCAAGGTAAACACTGACCTCTGGTGTGATAAATCCCCCTGCTAATCTAAACCAGGAATCTCCCCACCCCTTCTGCCCTGATCTGGACAGGACGTGGAGTCTACAGAATCCAGAATCCAGGAAGGCAGCATTGGAGCAGAGTGATCCCTGCACTGATTTTTTCCTGCAGTTTGTGCACCCCGCTGCTCTGGTGTGGGAATAGCAGCAAAGGGTCCACGTGAATTCCAGGGAGCAGGCGGGCCCCAGGGAAAGAACTCCGCACTTTTGTTCCAAATACTCTGTCTTTGGCCAACATAAAATGCAAAAAGAATGTGGACACTATGGATGATCCCTATCCTGAATTTTCTTCTTTACCAGGACACCCCAAAATTCCACCTAGTTCCTTTAAAAGTGAGCATATTTTTTGCTAGGCCCCCTTGCAGGTGTAAGCTGGGCTCTTTCCCCCACACAATGAACTGATGATCAGATGACAGCAAATTAGAAGGCTACTGCAGTAGCCTGTGATCTTAAGTAGCAGTTTGAAAGAGGAGAAAAAGAAGTGTTGAAAGTAAAACTGAAAAAAAAAATGCATTAAAAATATGGAAATAGCCAAAAAAAAAAAAAAAATAGGGTCCAATCTGAAAGCCTGACTCAAATGTGATAAATCCAACCACTGGCTAATGCAGCCACAGCTAAACAAGAGCAGCTTCCCAGGGTGCTTAACAAGATCACACCATGGGAAATAAAGGGACTCAAGATATAAAATGAGAGAAGCCTGCTGTGGCAGTGCATGTCGCGACCTCCCTGCTGAGGGAGGAGGATCACAAGTTGGAATATAACCTGGACAAATTAGCAAGATGC